ATGTGTTTTAAATCTGCTTGGGGTTCAGAGTATCTCCAAAAGGAGTGAGTGGAATAGGGGAACATCTTCACTAGTTTATACAAAATCAAGTACCACCTATTCATTAACTTATAGTGGGCCTCATTTATGTTTAGGCAGTGGTAAGCTTTGTAAAGTGATCCAAGAGATCTATTCCAGTCTTCCAAATCCCCAAATCATGATTCCATTTTGCAATTGCAGATGATGGCGATTTCATCTTAAGCTTACATAGTAAGCTTTTTTTTTTTTTTTGAGAGCAAGTGGTTATAATCTGTTTGTTCCAACAGATTTGTCAACATATTGATTGGAACTAAGGAGATATTAAACATCAAATACATTTTTTAAAATGATGTAATTTTTATATAATTAAGTCATTTAGTAGCAGGTTAGTCAAATTCCCCTTGTAATTAAGCAAAAGATTTAAACATATTCCTGTCTATAAAATTGAAAATCCTTTCCACTTAATTATTAAAAAATTGCTAGTGCAGTTTGCTGTATGATAGGAATCCCCAAACCACCCTTGTCTCTTTTTTTGAGCCAATACATCACAATGTATTCCATGTTTTTTTTGCCTTACCATGTATATTTTGCCAAAGATGTTTGAACATGGTCTAAAATATGTGGCTGCTCACTATGGAAAAAAAAAACCCTAGTAGCCCCCAAGCCCCTAGTCACCCACCCTCATCCAAATAAAAACTATCCCCTACCTACCCCCCTCACCCTAAAAATAGTGAGGGGGGAATAAAATAACTAACCTGTAAATAAAACTAACCATTTGATGTCTTCTTTCTTCTAAAATCTTCATTTTTCAGCCCCAGAAAAGGCCAAATAAAAAAACCATAATAACCGTCAAACTTAAAATAAAACAAAAAACCCGACGCTAAATTTTTTTTATCCATCTTCAACCATGACTGAGCTCTGCAGGGCGAGGGAAGTCTTATAAATTAGGCTAAGAACACTCTGATTGGTTGGTTTCTCTAGATTTTTCCCACGCTGTGTAATTTGACTCATAACACTCTTGATTGGTGGGCTTGAAATCCATCCGATCAGAGTGCTCTGTGTCATTTTACACAGCGTGGGAAAGTTCTTTGGAATTTTCCCACGCTGTGTAAAATGACCCAGAGCACTCTGGATGGATTTCAAGCCCACCAATCAAGAGTGTTATGAGTCAAATTACACAGCGTGGGAAAATTCCAAAGAACTTTCCCACGCTGTGTAAAATGACAAAGAGTACTCTGATTGGCTTAAACCAACCAATCAGAGTGTTCTTAGCCTAATTGCAGGGCGGGGCAAGGCTTTATAAGCCTTACCCCGCCCTGCAGAGCTCAGTCTGCGCGGAGCCCCCCCATGGGTGAAGGTGGATTTTTTTTTTTTGAAACAACCACACCATCTTTTTCCAGAGCAGCCTGTATTTCTCCTGAGGTTACTAGTGAGGTTTTTTTTTTTGTATCCCGAACAATTCTTCTGGCAATTGTGGCTGAAATGTTTCTTGGTCTAACTGACCTGGCATTTCCAAGGCTTTGGATATCTTTTTTATATCCTTTTACCATCTTTATAAAGTTCCATGACCTTGATACGCAGGTCTTTAGACAGTTCTTTTCTGCTCCCCATGGCTCAGTATCAAGCCTGCTCAGTGCATTCCCCTAAGAGCTAGCAAACTCTTTGACTATTTATACACAGACACCAATTACAATTTAAAAAGCCACAAATGTGGGAAATTAACCATTAATAGCCACTTTAACCTGTGTATGTCACCTTGTGTGTCTGTAACAAGGCCAAACATTCAATGGTATGTACACTTCTGATCAGGGCCATTTGGGTGATTTATGTTATCATTATGATTTAAAAGGAGCAAAACAACTATGTGATAAATGGCTTCATATGCTCACTATCCTACAATTACATATTTGTTTGCATGATCAGTCATATTTTCAAAATCAATGCCAAATTTTCACAATTTCTTCCAGGCTATGCAAACTTTTGAGCACAACTGTATATGCACATTGGGGTTATAGAACCTAGGCTCCAGGGCCAGACTGGCCCACCAGGATACCGGGAAATTTCAAGGTGGGCCGTTGGCACCTGGGGCCGGAAAGACAGCTGTCTCTTCTGGCGGCTGCAGGGGGGAGTCAGCTGGCTGTTTTGGCGGCCGCCCTTGCGCGCTACTTAATGAGACTGGGGCCAGGATAATGACGTCCTATACCAATCCCGGTCTCATTAAGCTGAGCGCTGGGGTGCAGAGCCAGCACAGCCAGCTCCCCCTGCGGCCGCCAGCACACCTGACCCAACTGTCTGTCAGTGTGAGTGTGTGTATGTGTCATGGTGTGTGTCTGTCTTTGTCATGGTTTGTCTGTCAAGGTGTGTGTCTGTAATGGGGTGTGTGTGTGTGTGTGTCTGTCATGGTATATGTGTGTGTGTCTGTGTCTGTCATGGTGTATGTGTGTGTTTAAAAATAGTGTTTTTACTTCTTTTTTTTTTCCATGCCTTGCTGCGGGGTTGGCATAGATTTTTTTTTTTCCATGGCTGTTTTGTATCCCCAGTCCAGCCCTGCTAGGCTCTGAACAGTTGTAGAGGCAATACCCCCTGATGGCAGCCCTGTTTTATGTGTTTGGCATCTGTCATATCTGTGATAGTTTATACAAGTTCCATTTCACTTTAATAATTGAGGGCAGAAACACCTTCGGGGCTGTCAATCAGACAGCAAGGGAGGGTTTCTTCCTCTTATGTTCACGAAGGTGGCAGTTGCACTGGGCTAGTTGGCACCTGCCTTTCCCATTTCTCAATGAGGTAAAAGAGGCAGGCCAGTGGTAGAATCCTGTCACTGGCTTTACTCAAAGGGGATGGGTCCTCCCAGAAAGTTGGTGAGCTCGCCCAAATTACTGGCAGATCATCTTGGTGTGAGTGAATACTGGGCTGCCTGCTAATCAAACATGACTGGACATGCAGGGAACATTGTTTCCCAAGTGTTCCGAGTGTAACCCACGACTGTGTCTAATGATGTGCTTTCCCTTCACTTTTTGGGGTCAGTTCAGAAAATTGGTGCTACCCTGCTGGACTCAGGATGGTTAGTATGCATGGATTAGTGTATAGCCCAGCACAGACTTTTATTCTGTCCCAGGGAAAGAGGAGAGGGCTTACAAAGACAGCAGAGATCAGGTCGGTAACTTTTGCAGGTTGTTTTTCTATATACCTGCAGAAAAAAATGCATGTATGTTTTCTTTGCGGTTATATCTACTAATATGTAGTGATGTCCCGAACGGTTCGCCACGGACTCATCATTGAGTAAACTTTGACCCTGTACCTCACAGTCAGCAGACATATACCAGCCAATCAGCAGCAGACCCTCCCTCCCAGACCCTCCCACCTCCTGGAGAGCATCTATTTTACATTCATTGTGAAGCTGCATTCTTAGTGAGCTGTTAAGGAGGTGGGAGGGTCTGGGAGGGAAGGTCTGCTGCTGATTGGCTGGAATGTGTCTGCTGACTGTGAGGTACAGGGTCAAAGTTTACTCAATGATGAGTCTGTGGCGCACCGTTCGGCGAACCGTTCGGGACATCACTACTAATATGTTTATATGTTGACTTTACCTGTCTTATATAAAGATATTAAAAGAAATGATAATAATGAATGTAGTAATGAATAATAAATGTATTATCTTGATATTGTAATTTCAGAATTATCACCATGAGATCTTGATAGAGAAAAAAGAAAAGATAGTATTTGACATCACAGGGCTTCTCCCTTTCACTGTGTATAGCGTTTCACTGCAGTGCTCTGGTGCAGATGGACAAATTCTTTGGAGTGATTGGTCCACAGAGAAAACAGGACGGACAGCGGAACAAGGCAGGTTAATACCAAGGCTGCAAATATTTCATTTTCTGTTGATTATATACATATAAAACCTTGTATTATAGGTTGTAGCTTCAGATTGTAAGGTCACAGCCCATCTTGCAAAGTGATATATATATATATATATATATATATATATATATATATATATATATATATATATATATATATATATATATATATATATATATATATATATATATACTCCAATTGCTAGATGTGAATTTCACAAGCAGGGTTCTCTCTTTATTTTGTTTTAAAAAAATATATGGATATATATAACCTGCTATGTCTGCATCCCCTAATTGTACAGTGTCATGGAATATGTTAGGTTTACAAATACAAAAAAATAAATGACACAATTATTATAGTAATCTAGTATAGATAAAAAAAAAAGGTGTTACATTTGATCTTTACTTAATAAAATTAGGTTGTTCTCTCAAGTACAATTGTAGACAGTATAACCACTTCATCTTATTGAAGTAGTTATGGTGCTTTTACTGATGGATCAGTCTCCTCTGAAGTGTGTTGCAATCCTTTATCAAATGTTTGTGATCAAAACTGGTGTGTTAGGAAGCGGGGCCTGACTGCCATGCCGGACAGATGGATCCTGAACGAGCTCTGGCATCTCATGAGCTTTATCATGATATTTTTGCAGAATATTTCCCAAACAGTGAGCTCCTAGCACAAACGAATATATGTTTATGAGGCTTCGGCTTCCTTCAAGCAGACACACTGTTGGATAGCTGCCGGATGTACAGAAACCGCCAATCACTACACCTTACCCTAGCTGCTGGTTGGCACCCCTAGGGAACGGTGGTGATGATCCCGGTCTATCCCTTGGAGACTCTTCTGTGTCACTGTGGATACGCAGCATTCTCACTGGACACAGGCAGAAGCCATAATGCCACATTTCATATGACGGATCCTGCGCCTGCCTCTGATCCCAGGTGAAGGACATCCTGCATACAGGCCAACTTAAACAGACTTTTCGAGTCCTTTTGGAAGCAGCTTCAAGCCCGAATACGGTGCGCGGATCCAGGTGACCAGACTGCCAACATACCTCAGAGTCCATCGTCTAAGGTTCAGTGAAGGGCCTCAACTCCATCTTTAGACCGGGCCCGAATTGTGCAATGGCAGCGGGAGAGCTCCATCCGGGTGAAGGCTGTCTAAAGACCCTCAGTGTGCAGACATGGAAGGGGATCATGCCATGCTATTTCCTGGGAATTGGGGGTACTATCACAAGGCACAGAATGTCACCACCAGGGGATCCAGCACCTTCACATCCGCAGGCAATTCAGCCTGATGCAGATCATTCCATTGTGAGACTTTGCTTGACCTGAGCAATGGGCCTGGGACTCTCGCTGGCATGGTGTCGCCTGTCAGTACCTCTCACACTGATACCTGTGCATCATAGGTATTAGTGTGAGAGGTACTTATAGGCGACACCATGCCAGCGAGCGTTTTGCTGCTTTGTTTGCTTGTCATGCTTTTTACTTAGTTGCTGACTCCATGCCTCTCTAAAAGCTTATGCACTCTCTGTGCGGGGCAGTCACTCTATGAATACTCTTGAGCTTCCTGTGGGTTTCTCTCTTTGTTTTGCTACCAGCACCCGTCTTACAGTTCTCAACTGTTCATTAGCACGTCCTCACCATATGTTTTAAACTGCCATCTGATATATGGCTACACCTCAGGCAACATTCTCCGTGTAGATTCACTCATATGCAAAAGAGAAAACAAACAGAGAACCAAATAGTGCAATATGTCCAGTCGTAATAAAGCAAATAAATATAAAAAGCTGGTCTAAAACTCACATGTACCATTTTATATATTTTCAATACTATTATTTTATCCAGTGAGCACTATTGGTTGTCTTATTTCAGTGTTGAACATACCCTTGACGAAGGAAGTTTAGCCCATATCCCATAAGTGGGGATTGTACCGCTGTAGGCCTTTCACACTAGAGCTCTTGTACATGTGAGTTTTAGACCAGCTTTTTATATTTATTTGCTTTATTACAACTGGACATATTGCACTATTTGGTTCTCTATTTGTTTTATCTTTTGCATATGAGTGAATCTACACGGACAAGGACAGCGAGGACATTGTTCCTGACCAAGCACCTTATAGACTCTGTGATCTCAATAAGAGCATTCTAGTTAAGACTCTTTTATTTTGGACTATCTTTTATTTTAATTCTTGTATGATATTAGGTCTCTCTGGCGCAGCCCTTATCTCCTCTTTTTCTCTCTTGTTGTATTCTAAGGGTTTTGAGGGACTCCCTTATAGGGTTGCTGCCCTATTTGTTAATTAGCGCTTACTCTTTTCTCTTGTTTAATTCTCACTGTGCCTGTATTACCTCTTGAAATATATGCTGACATATCTACTATCGTTTTTATTTTTCATTAAAAAAGTGACTGTTAAATTTGTACGATTACCCTCATCTCGCTTGTGTTAATCTACTTAACTAACGTGATATACTCCTTTCTGCATGTACTTGTTTCGCCCACTCAATAAAAAAATTTGATTGACAAACAAAAAGTGGTATGGTGCAAAGTTCTAGAAGGCGGGCTGTCATCATCAAAACCAATGGAATTAGCGGAAACATTCTGTTGGCTTTTACTCTTTGTCAATTTTGAGTTTTGGAAATTTCCCACCCTGTTCCTCCTTAGTCGATATCTCTTTTATACATAGTGACTGTAATGGTGTATTAAATCTAATAAGCAATGCTTTGCTTTAATAGCTCCTTCACATAATGTGGACCTTTGGAGACTGATCTTTTCATCACCTGGGAATCGGTCAGTGCAGCTGAAATGGAAGGTACATGTTTATTTTATTTTTTTTTAACACATTCTCTTTGTAAGACATAACATCCTCATCAGAAGTAAGGCCTTCATTATTATTATTTTTTTCTGTCTTTATTTTAATTTTCAAATAGTCAATGACAATTAAAGAAAGCCTGGGAGTGTTGGTAACTCCCAGAATAAAGTAGTAGGAGTATATACAGTGAGTCAAATAGTTAATCATATCCTACTGACACTAATCAGAAGAAATGTTTACCTCAATGGATGTTGTCACCTGAGGACTGTCAGAAGAAAGTTAGTGAGACAAAAGTCAGTCAAGTGTCCTACTCCTTAAGCTACATAGGTCACCTAACTTGAAAGTAAAGCACATTTTTAATACATAATGTTCAAAAAAATACGTTTTCCCAGCCTTATACATTTTTTTATAAAATGTTTTTGTTTAACATTTAGAATTTGTGCTTATTTCTTGTAAACACTTTGTAAGTTCTATTAAAGCTCCATTGTACAATTTTGCTGAAGGACATGTATAGCTGCCTTTACATAGAATCAGCTGACTGATCTATAAACCTTTGTTTAGGAAAGGCGCACAGTAAAACCATCCGGAATAACCTTAGGCTACAGAATAAAGTGGTTCCCTACAGACTGGACGTTCCTCCAAAGAACAGAAACCACAATTCTAAATGAAATGACCATCCATCTTTCTGGTGAAGCATACATGGTCTCCGTTGTGTCGTACAATTCGGCTGGGGCCTCGCCTGAGGCGGTTCTACGAATTCCAGCTGTTGCTGAACAAAGTAAGTCATGGCTTGGAGGAAAAATGACTTTTGATTATGTTATTATTAACATAGCGCCAACAAATTCCGCAACGTCTTACAATGGGTGGACCAACAAACATGTAGTTGTAACCAGACAAGTTGGACACACAGGAACAGAGAAGTTGAGGGCCCTGCTCAATGAGCTTACATGCCAGAGGGAGTGGGGTAAAGTGACACAAAATGTAAGGGTAGTAGCTTATTAACAATGGGGCAGTTGGGGTAGTTATCCTTTGGCCCAATGATGTGAAAATTAATACAATAAAAAACAGAAATACATTTATATTAATAGTGTTAGCTCACTAGTTTAGTATGTAAATATATTGCCACGAGTGCATGCTTTAACAGGTGTGTTGTCGCCATCTATTATACTAGCCAGACACATATATTATTGTTTTTTTTGCACAGACATTGGAACTCATTGTGTAGCTAAAGTTCAATAATTAGATGTAACATTTTAAACAAGCAACTTCCTGCATTACCGTTAATATGATAATATATCTAATCTGGTGCTTGGTCAACCACAATCCATTAAATATAAACTCACCTGGCAACCATGTTTTACGGTTTATAGAATGCACTTTCCCTTTTCCATCTGCGTAATTATACCCCATTACTTTTCAGTCTGTACGCTAGTTTGAGTCTGTACACTTTGTTTCCTTTTTTTTTCCCGTAGCTCCAACTTGTTGACACTACTTGTTTGTTTGTCACCTGTGGCACAGCTCAGCAGATCTGCTTGTGCTTTATAAATAACCACTGATAAAAGCACTGTCGTAAATTGCTCTAACACCCATAAGTGCCACTTTCTGCTGTGTCTTAAAATATTTAGAAATCAAACACGTTGGTTACTAAGTTATGAATTGCCATTTATTTACACTTGTTATAGTTTTAATGGTTAAAGAATCCAGTCTGTAAAGCATGAAGAATTCCGTGGAATATTTGTGGAGATCAGTTTGATATTTAAAGAATGAATCAACTCAAAACTCACATATGCAACATTCAGCATTGTAATAAAAACTATAATAAAGGGAGCTATGTTTAAAAAAAAAAAAAAGTTGTGTGCTAAAAAAATGGTATAAATGACTACAACTGGGACAGTCACTATGGAAACCACCACTTTTAAAAACAGACTTTTTATACATAACCCCTAAAGTCCCAAGGTCAACACTAACTATTAAGATTAATGAGAGAAATACGTATTACTCCCTACATACATATTGAGCATTTGTGGCATACTAAATGGTTTCCAATTGCATACACCTGTAAAATCTTTATTTTATTCTCGATCCTAATTAAGTATCCCTCTCATGCTTAGCTGATATTTACAAAGGCATCGGATGTAGAGTTTGACCCAAAACAGAAAATATTGTGGATGCATCCATTCAGTGACAAGCTGTGTTAATCATAAAGGAGTATAAAATACTTTTCCGCTGGTATCATACTGCTCTGTGATTATTGAGCAATAACAAAATACCAAAAAATAACTGCTGGAAACTCTTTGGGTATAACATTGGCTTTGCAGATTGGAAGGTCCCAAACAAAAGCTGTTATGGAAACATCTATCTAATCTAATCTCTGTTTATAAAAAAAAAAAAAGGAAAAACATTGAATCCATAATTATCACTGTTATTGTCAAAATCATCAGAAATAATGACCAGAGCAGAAAATAAACTGACTGCAAAACAGACACTCTCCGGCATTAGAGCTGTATAACAGAATTAAGAAACTCCAGTCATCTTCCAACTATGACCACGTTCATATGTAAATCAAGAGAACCCAAGGAAACAGGCAGAAGATTATTTATTTTTTTGGAAAATTTCCATCTTTTTTTCTCTTCTCTGTTTTTCCTACGTTCACTCCTTTCTTTCCAATCTTTCCCTCACCTTACGGTTTGGTTGTTCTTATGCTGTTATCTTTCTCTTGTAGTTATAGTTATTTACTTCATTTATACTATCCTTGATCCTTTATGGATATCATAGCTTAATCCACAGAGGCTACCACTTCATCTATAGCTATCGTTCATCACAAGCTCCTATAATAATTTTCAGACTGCCTAGGCCACACTTTTCCCTTTTGGTCCACGTCATGTGTCCGCTTACCTAATCTATAAAATCCACTGGTGTTCAAATAAAGGTTAATTGAAAACAACCAAAACTAGACTAAAATATTGGAAAAGAAGATGAATTTGTGAATTCTCCAAAAGCTATTTGTTTTTGTTTTTTAATTTTGCTTTTTCAATTTACCTCAATTCATTGTTTAATAAAGAAAACTACAAAAGCTACTGTGAGCTATAACTAGGAAATTTCAATTTCCAAAATAGCCAGAATTTGTGACTGTAGTATTTGTGACTGAAAATGTTAAATTTGATGGTTTAGTCTCCACAGTTACGTTTCCTGTTAAACATGTGATACACATTAAATCTGTATTTTTGCCTTTTAGCTCGCAGTCTCGTGAACTATATTCAGATAGTAAAGTGGGGTGAAAACCTGACGGTAAAGTGGAATGTCACAGAAGACAGAATTGATAGATTTCTAGTGGAGTGGTGTATAGCCTACGAAACAAAGGTTTGTGACATACATTGGGAATACCTTGAAAACGCCACAGGATGGACAACGCAAACAGGTACTACGTTTCTGCTTTGAGAAACTCTTTTAAGTATATTTAAATTGAAGATCTTCGGGACCTATAGCATTCCACATTAATAAGTAAATCAAAAACTCTAGCAGAATTTCTATTCATTAAGGACGAAGTTAACACTCACAGGGTTGTCAACTCAAGTGTGACTTATCAGGAATTAAAATTCTATAACAAAATAGCCAGATCAGCTGTGTTATTGAGTGATTTTTGAATTTAAAATTAATTTTGAATTCCCCATAATTCAATCTAGCAGAAGAATTACATAAACAAGACATTAAAGGGACACTATAGTCACCAAAACAACTTTAGCTTAATGAAGCAGTGTTGGTGTATAGAACATGCCCCTGCAGCCTCACTGCTCAATTATCTGCCATTTAAGAGTTAAATCACTTTGTTTATGAACCCTAGTCACACCTCTCTGCATGTGACTTGCACTGCCTTCCTAAACACATCCTGTAAAGAATCATCTACAATTTATCCTTCCTTTATTGTAAGTTCTGTTTAAGTTAGATTTTCTTACCCCCTGCTATGTTAATAGCTTGCTAGACCCTGCAGGAGCCTCCTGTATATTTACAGAGCAGGAGATGAAATTGTTTAAGGTAAATTACATCTGATTGAAAGTGAAAACAGTTGTTTTTTTTTCATGCAGGCTCTGTCAATCATAGCCAGGGGAGGTGTGGCAAGGGCTGCATAAATAGAAACAAAGTGACTTAACTCCTAAATGGCAGTGAATTGAGCAGTAAAACCGGAGAGGCATGAGCTATAGACTAAAACTGCTTCATTAAGCTACAGTTGTTTATAGTGTTCCTTTAAAGATAATCACTACCATTCAATTGCATTCACACACTCCGAAGAATATTCCATTGAGTATATCACTTTGTTTTGCACCCTCTTAGGGATTTCTTAGTTTAGTATTCCTATACATAATATCATGACAAAAAATAAATTAGGAGTATTAGAAAAGTTGATTAATTCATATACCATTAAGCATATAGTGACCCAAGTTGTCATAGTGACGATCTAATGTCCACAATAGATGTGTTGATTGAAAAAGAGCCCTACTTTAACTGTGGGAGTCATGTAGTAAACAGAGAAAGAAAAAGGGTGAGGGAGTTTATCAACCAAAAAAGTTGTACAGATGTCTCTCCCCAGAAAAGGACATAAAGATGTTTTTTAAAAAAAATGTTTTAAAGTTGTTTGAGGTAGATATAGCTGTAGTGAAAGAAAAGATTTATTACATTACAAAACAGGTTTATAAGGACACATTTGAGATTTGCCAATATGGTCTAATGTATTTGGCATCCATTTTTTTAGTTTTCCTTTTATTCAGCTCCTGTGGTCCTTTTTGCTGTTATGAAATGGATTATGATTCAGTGGATTTATGTACGGTTTCCATGTTGCAATGTTTGTTTCACAACACAAGTGCTATATGTGCAAGTGCAATATTATTCATGGCCTATATTTGCTGTATTGAGGTTGTTAAAACACAAGTAAAAAAATTAAGACAGGATGATTAAGATTCTTTTTTTTTTTTTCACAAGTGGTATCATTTTTATCAGTTATATTGTCAACATAATTAACATTTTACATTGATTAAGCAATGATTTGAAATTTGCAGAAAAGCCCATTTCTCCCCCAATTATCTTCTACAGCAACATCAAGAAGGAGTATTTCTATTAATGTAGTTTACTTCTGAAGATATTAGCAATAATGTGTTTGGGTGGCAACTGTGATGTATGATTGATTTGATGTCCTGGTTATTATCCATGGCACCATATACTAATATACTTTACTAATTGGTTAGCTCCTTTCATTATAGCCAACGGGTCAGGGAAATACAGGCTTCAGGATTTTAGCCACATTGAGTAGAAAGTTAAAGATTTAAAAAAAAAAGAAAAAAAAAGAAAAGTATAATAGGAAAGAGGGGTCAAAGTATGATTGTGGCTGCACTGGGACCAGACCGCTCAGGTGACCCATTGGGTGGTCCATGCACTTAGGGCCAACCGATAGTGTTTTCATGTGCCCGGTCATGAGCTGCCCCTGTGATATATTGGCGGTGCTGGGAGGAAGTGACAGACAATCACTTCCTCCTAGATAACCCAGAACCGGAAGGGAGCACAGACTGGTAGAACATCTGACTTCCAACAGCCTCAGTCAGCAGACTGGACCACAGGGAAGCCACACTCCTGCACCCAAAAGATAGGAAATAGGAGGGTGGCTTAAAATGTGTATATTTTGCATGTGTGTGTATCTTCATCTGTGTATATATCTGTGTGTCTGTATCGATCTTGACACTTCCAAATGATTTCAGAGATCACTATAGGAGTCCTACCTCTTCTAGCTGAACTCTTCCAATGTAGTTTCCCGGTGCATTCCTCTCTGGGATGTGTGGCCACCATCCTCCTTTTTAAATCCTACTTTAAATCTTGTTACATCATATATTTTTTTTCCCTCCCCAACACTCTCTTAACTCCCATACCTCTACCCTCCTCAAATTATATGTCTCTCTCTTGCACAATTTTCCACTTTCCCTTTTTTGTTACAGCTAAGGTAGCCAAAAATTACACCTCACGGTTAGCAAACCATCTTGGCAGGCTTTACATACATTATAGAATGTAATATTTATAGGTTTATTTACCTCATAGCAATGTAATATTTATAGGTCTATATACATTATAGGCTGTAACATAATGACAGATTTCCATTTTCTGTTGTTTTGACTTTTTCCCCCAGGAATGTTTGAACCGTATAAATGTTATAAAATATCAATTTATCCATTACTGGGAGACAGAGTGGAAGCTTCATCTTCTTTATATTTCTATTTCAAAGAAGGAGGTAAGATATTTAACTTTCTAATCTTGTATTCTTACCTTTTAGACTTTGTAAGTACTTTTAAGATAACCCGCTCTGTGGGCAGGACGGTGGCAGACACTGTGTCTTTGTTTTGTTCAATGTATATCGTCTTTTCATATTTCATCATTCTATATTCTTTCTTTAATAATTTCAGCACCTCAGCATGGCCCCATTGTAATTCCACAGAGTCCTTCTAAAACAGAAGTTACATTGAAATGGGCGAACATCCCCGTAGACGATAGGAATGGATTTATAAGAAACTTTACTATAGTTTATCAACCTTTGAATGGAATGGAATCTGGTAAGCTACATTTTCACAGTTGATAGCACCAACATCTTGAGCACAATTTTTAAAAGGGAAGAAGGCCCTGCCTTTATATATCTGCCATCTTAAATCCTCATAGATTGTAAGCTCATATTGTTAGGTGTCTTCCCAGATGCACTTCCCCTCAGTGAAACATAGCAGTTTCTCTGAAACAGCTATGTTTTTAGCTGCAGGGTTAACACTAGATGGACCTGCCACCCAGACCACTTAATTGAGCTGAACTGGCCTGGGTGCATATAGTGGTCCTTTAACCCCTTAAGGACCAAACTGAAATGTCACATGTCATGTGTCCTTAAGGGGTTAAAGGGACACTATAGGCACCCAGACCACTTCAGCTAATGGTTTACATTGCAGCTCTAAGTCTGCCCCCAGTGGCTGTCTACCTCAAACTTTTTAAACAGGGGGCCAGTTCACGGTCCCTCAGACACTGTTGGGGGCCGGACAATAAACAATATGAACGAATTCCTATGCACACTGCACACACACGCATAAGGACATAAATACACATACACACACAGACAGACACAAACATATACATACTGATAGACACACACACACATACATACACACACAGTCTGCCTGTGTGTGTATGACTGTGTGTGTGTTTGTGTGTGTATGACTGTCTGTGTGTATGACTGTCTGCCTGTGTGTCTGTGTGTATGACTGCATGCCTGTGTGTGTGTATGACAGTCATACACACACACAGGCAGACAGTCTGCCTGTGTGTGTATGACTGTGTGTTTGTGTGTGTGTATGACTGTCTGCCTGTGTGTCTGTGTGTATGACTGCATGCCTGTGTGTGTATGACTGCCTGCCTGTGTGTGTGTATGACTGTCTGCCTCTGTGTGTGTATGACTGTCTGCCTCTGTGTGTGTGTGTGTATGTATGACTGTGTGTATGACAGTCATACACACGACACACACAGGCAGACAGTCATACACACAGACACACACACACACACAGGCAGACAGTGTGTGTATGACTGTCTGTATGTATGACTGTCTGCCTGTGTGTGTATGACTGTCTGCCTGTGTTTATGTTTGTGTGTATGACAGTCATACACACAGACACACACAGGCAGACAGTCTGCCTGTGTGTGTGTATGACTGTCTGTATGTATGACTGTTTGCCTGTGTGTGTATATGACTGTCTGCCTGTGTGTGTATATGACTGCCTGTGTGTCTGTGTGTATATATATTACTGTCTGCCTGTGAGTATGACTGTCTGCATGACTGTCTGCCTCTGTGTATGACTGCCTGTGTGTATGACTGTCTGCCTGTGTCTGTGTGTATGACTGTCTGCCTGTGTCAGTATGTCTGCCTGTGTGTAAGACTGCCTGCGTGTGTGTGTGTGTATGACTGACTGCCTGCCTCTGTGTGTGTGTGTGTGTATGGCCGTCTGACCAATACACTCATATCACACACTGTTAATACACCCATTACAAATACCACACACAGCCAACACATAGCATATATATCACACACAGTCATCACACCTACTATCACATACACAGGCAACACAAACATTACATCATACATGGATGACGGGGGGGGGGGGGAATGTGAAGATTTTTCGCACAGGGCGCCTAAAGCTGGCCCGGCTGGAGGGTATGTGGTAACAGAGACTAACATCTAACCTGACCTCCATACTAACATAAACAATAATATACGTCAGATATATGCCACATCACTTATATATGTTCCTTTCCTAGCTGTGACCGTGGACTGCAATATTCATGAATATACTCTTCGGTCTTTGGAGCCAGGCACTCAGTATTCCGCATATGTTGTAGCAAGCACCCAGATTGGAAGCACTAGTGGAAATCTTGTTCACTTTAGCACACTGAAATACAGTAAGTTCCACAAGACCTTGAACCATGAAATCACTATGCATTCGTTAACAATAATTCTTTACACAGATGTGTATTCTTAGATAAAGCTGCACTGTCACGCTGAACTTACCTTTCTTCTATTGTTTCCTCTCTCATAATCTGTTCTTCTTTTCTTCCTATCTGATCTAGTTTTCTTTAAAACATAAATCAAAGTAGGGAATACTTTGTCTTATGTATTTTTCCTATGCTTTACCTTCTTTTACCAAAGGATCAGCTCCATTTCCTGTGTTCAAATAAATTTTCCCACAAAAGAAGGAGACGGCATACAAACTACTCACTCATTGGTACCGCACACCTGAAACAACACACCACCTAAACACAGACGAGTCGCACCTCTGCTGGAGATGCGACTGGGAGATTGGCACACCCCTACACATTTGGTGGAAGTGCGAACACATACGACGTTACTGGCGAAGCATACATGACATACTATCTCGGTTCTCTGACGATCCACTGCCACTAGACCCAGCGGCTATGCTGCTACATCACAACAAGGTCCCCACATCTAAATATAAAAAAATCCTTCACAATTCTGTTCCTTAACATAGCTAAACAGATAATTCCTCAATATTGGAAGAAACCTGAGACACCTTCACTGCACAAGTGGTTTACTTAGATGGAGGAGCTACGAGCGTCGAGGAACTCACTATGACTGTGGCTGGCCCGCAGCAACAGACATACATGGCAATCTGGGCACATTGGATACTGACGACAGCAAAACCAGACTAACTGATGATAATACACGGCCACCCAACATAAAGAAGCACATTGCAGACGGACACACAGACCGGTATCTCAACTCCCTCCTCCCCACCCCCCTCCCGGCCTTCTTCCGATTCCGTGCCCCTTCCCTCCCTTCCTTCCATCTGTCCCTGCCACATACTGACCCCCCTCTTCTTTTCACTTTATTTTCTACCAACAAGAAAAGCGGACTTCTAAACAAAGGAGGAGCGGTCCACCATAATGATAGAGCTAACACCTAAACACGCTTACCCAGCCCAACAGCTATGGGATGATTAACAGAGACACATCACAGAGACATGCAATCCAGGTGATGCATAAAGGCAGACATATCACTAGGCATAGGACACCTGGATTACAGGTTGTACACCGCGCACACACACACACGGAAGAACTATGACACTTTATCACAAGAAAGCGTGAGCTTACAGTGCTCTGAAACATAGCAATCACAGGCCGGAGCGCCCACACCACTGACACTGGCACAAGCACAACGCATATGAGCTACTAATTTATGCTGAAAGGGACCTGCGAGTCCACCAACAATGTGGGCCTGTGAGCCCAAATGATTGTTAGCCTGTCAAGTCCATTTCTTGCACATGTGCTCTTTTTATTATGTTTGTTGCTTACAGAGACCTGTGAGTCTCAATGTTATTTTTTTATAAAATAAATTTTCCCACAATACTCACCCTTCCTCCATGTTCTCGCGAGGCCTCCTTTCACTATTCCCAAACGTCCTGTCATATAGATAGTGTCGGCAAATTCACAGAATTGCATGCAAAATTAATGCACGCAGTATGTCCATTCATGTTCGAATGAAATTCGGTAATTTTGTTTGGTTCTGAATTTAATTCAGAGAATAAACTTCCAATTCAATTCTTGCCACGGCTGCATCTTGCAGCAGTTTAGTAGATTGCCCCCTAATTCCCACAAAAATGTTGTCACTCAAGGCCCCTTCCACCCATGAGAGGTGGGGTGGGTTGGGGCCGGGGGTAAGAGACAGTAATGCACCCACCTGCCGCTCTTGGGTGAGGGCCAGGGGTGTGATGCAATCGGTCCCCCCCATTTTGTCAATTAGGGCCACCACCCGCTGCTCATGGGTGGAAGGAGACAAAAAGGTGCCACGCCCCCTTTTGTCACTTAGGGCCTCAGCCACCGCTTTAGGGTGGGGGGCGGTCGGGGACCCTAGATCCCCAGATTAGTTTAATAATCCACAGTTTAGTAGACATACCTCTACTCACAGCATAGCGAGTAGGACAAGAGGAAGATTTTAATCTCCCTTATGTTAATATGGAGGTCATATGGGGAGGGGGGGTGAAGTGGCAGGGACCTATGCTTCTATTTTTACATATTATAAAGAGGAAGCCGCGAGCCTGTAGCTCCCTCCTTGTAATAAGCAAACAAACGAAAATCTAATTGAAATTCGGTTTTCATACATTCTTTGTAATTTCCTGTACACGTTTCGGACAATAGTGAATGTTCAAGTTTACAACTGGGCAAGTGCGGGAATTTTACAGCACTATCTAGTGTGGGCATATGACGTGTCCCACAGGACCTTCATCTGAGATGGCACTGCCTAGGACCAAGATCTGGGCATGAAATAAAAAGTTAAAGAAAAAAAAAGGTAAAATGCGACACCTAGGGGCATTTGGGTGTGTCTACTGGGACAATAAAATGTAGTGGAGTCGGGTAAAAAAACAAAACAGGAAAAAAAAAAAACAATGCGACCACGACAGTGCTGCTTTAAATTAAGCATACCAGGGTAGTGGTTCTGTCAATCTAAAGTGGTAAATCAAGAATGAGTCCTTGTATAAAACAAAAGCAACACAATGTGAGTACAAAGTAATGACCTCCCTCATGTCTAAATACAAGCCCACTAGCAAAAACAACAATAAAAAGACCTTCATAATAAACACACCTCACCCATGCTTTATTGTGAAGATGCCTACGGGATCAATGTTAAAATTAAACTACAGAGCTAGTGACAATTGAAGGCTGATAATTAGAGAGGGGGATTCCAACTAAACTACAACACTAAAACATAGACAGAGGCGACCATCTTACCATTGTTCTTTTTAGAAGTGTGACGGCTCACATGATCCCCAATATTAGTAATAGGTAGTATACAGAGAACAGACAATTGGCAATAAACCGTGAAATAAGTCAATAAATTATTACGTCTCCAAAAGCCTAAATATCCATCCTTAGAGAAACAAAGTAACAGCTAAATAACAGACAACATTCTCATTAAATGGACCTGGCACAATGAATCAGCTGGTATGAGGTGTCTGAAAGCCAATAATACTGAATTACGTTGAGAATACAGGCAAAGAGAATGAGAAAGAAACACATTTACTTTGGTTAGCAGGAGTAACACCCTGGTAAGCCTACTGCAACATCCTAACTCCCTCTGCAGCTAGCTAGTAAAGAGACAGGATAAAAGGAAGCAATAAGCCAAATTGCTACATTACTATATGTGAAAAATGTGAGAAACAAGTGACAAAACCGAGTAGGGAGTAAAATAACAAACAGCCGAACGTGTGTTTCGGCATATTGAAAATGGACTAAAACAAAGAACAGATTCTATAAATTTGTCCAAATACTGAAAGTCAACAGCAGCAATTAAAGACTGACTTCTTATCACTACAATCACCATCAATCAGGATGGTACAATCACGACCAGCCTATATGGGAAACTAACCGCAACCAATATTCTCCTAAACTGGAGTCACCATCCTCATTCTCTTAAAAAGGGCATTTCTGTTGGCCAGTACTTGAGACTGCAGCGCGATTGTTCTTAAATTGCAGACTCCAAGAGAGAAGACTAAAAATGCACTGCAGTTTCAAGGAAAATGGCTCTTCAAAAAGATGTCTAAAGAGGGCATATAAGAGGGTGTTACCTACCCAAATACCGACCCTCATTCAGGATCAGGTGGAAGATACTTCAGACACCAAGTCACATATTAGGTGTATAGGAAATATCTTACATGGGTTGGTTTGCAGTCAAATATATTCTTGAACGCTATTGGCAGCTTTTGAGTCAAGATGAACATTTGAAGGATGTTTTAACCCCACAAATATCTATTACAGTTAGACAGTTGCAATCTGCAAGACATCCTTGTTCCAAGCTACTTCCAACTAAAAGCCCCACCATTTAGCTGGCTTGGCACCATGGTTTGCAACGTTGCTGTACATATCAGTGCAGGAAGTACAAAACTTGTAGGTATATACTAGATATTTGAAACCTTTTTTTCAACCATTGATCACTAACAGACAATTAGTACAAGGTTTTTCTTTAATTCCAACACATCTAGAGTTGTATACCTCCTAACCTGCAGCTATGGGATAAAATATATGGTATACCTCCTAACCTGCAGCTGTGGGATAAAATATATGGTATACCTCCTAACCTGCAGCTGTGGGATAAAATATATGGTATACCTCCTAACCTGCAGCTATGGGATAAAATATATGGTATACCTCCTAACCTGCAGCTATGGGATAAAATATATGGTATACCTCCTAACCTGCAGCTATGGGATAAAATATATGGTATACCTCCTAACCTGCAGCTGTGGGATAAAATATATGGTATACCTCCTAACCTGCAGCTATGGGATAAAATATATGGTATACCTCCTAACCTGCAGCTGTGGGATAAAATATATGGCATACCTCCTAACCTGCAGATATGGGATAAAATATATGGTATATACCTCCTAACCTGCAGCTGTGGGATGAAATATATGGTATACCTCCTAACCTGCAGCTATGGGATGAAATATATGGTATACCTCCTAACCTGCAGCTATGGTATGAAATATATGGTATACCTCCTAACCTGCAGATATGGGATGAAATATATGGTATATACCTCCTAACCTGCAGCTATGGTATGAAATATATACCTCCTAACCTGCAGCTATGGTATGAAATATATACCTCCTAACCTGCAGATATGGGATGAAATATATGGTATACCTCCTAACCTGCAGCTATGGTATGAAATATATGGTATATACCTCCTAACCTGCAGCTATGGTATGAAATATATGGTATATACCTCCTAACCTTCAGCTGTGGGATAAAATATGGTATACCTCCTAACCTGCAGATATGGGATGATATATATGGTATATACCTCTTAACCTGCAGATATGGGATGAAATATATGGTATACCTCCTAACCTGCAGATATGGGATGAAATATATGGTATACCTCCTAACCTGCAGATATGGGATGATATATATGGTATATACCTCCTAACCTGCAGATATGGGATGAAATATATGGTATATACCTCCTAACCTGCAGCTATGGGATGAAATATATGGGGCAGACATTTTGCCCTTTCAAAATAAAAATCCTGGAACATATGGATACGGTCAGTGGGGTTAGACCTTAAAACACACCTTTTGCTAGACACCTGAAGTCACAGCTCAGGGGTTTATCGGATGGAATATGGTTCTCTGGTATTGAATTGATCAAAATGGGACAAAGCCTGATAGTTGGGTGGTCTAGGATTGTCTCCTGATTGGCCTACCTAGAGATGGATTTCCTGCAATCATCTCCAGAGTAAAATTTCAATATGGAAATATCCAAGATAGGTTTATGGCACTATGACACAAAGGGTAAATGAATTTTAAAAAAATGGAAATTTTTTTAAAATCATGCTTTGTGGTGCTTATTGTCTCAATATTACTGACACGCTGGGACTTTATTTAGCATGCTGCAATAAAAGTGAATTTTTAATTTGGACTTGACTGCTAGCACATCATCTACAGCAATCTTGATAGGGATTGTACTCACGTCTCCGGCTGCAGCACCAATAGGTTTATTCACTAAATGTGAATTGTTGAGATACAAAATAGGCAAACTAAAAACCATAACTGACTTGCAGGTTCTTTTATGGTTTGGCTAGAATTTGAAATTCACCTTTTTTGGTGATATTTACAATGTTTTATTTTTTTTAACAGATAAAGATGATATTGTCAGATATGGGGGAATGGGGCTAGTCCTACTGCTCTTCCTGGTGTTTGGAATTATATATGCACACAAAAAACACAAGTAAGTAAATGTTTTATGCCAATGTGTGATGTACATATCGGTCAGAGATATATGGGTATCCAGTAAACAGGGAAAATGCCCTGGTGACAGGAAAAATGTTAAGTTCTATTTCCAACCCAGGTATTTTAGCCTAGAATTTAGAATACTTTGGTCAATACACCTAAGGCTATCTGTAGACTACAAGGTTGCAAGGCATTCTAAAGCTACACTTATCCTGTCCCGTCCCTCCTTTCTGACTTCTTGCCTGTATTTAGAGTTACTTTCTGTCTCCTAAAATTCCTACTAATAACAGAATGCCACGTTATTTAAAGGTACAATATAGTCAACATATAAAAGCAAGAAAGACAGGTCCCCTAGCCTTCTTTCTTGCTTTTATATTAGTTTGCCATAAAAATAACTAAATAAAAATTCGATCCCTTTTTTTATTAAAACTTACCTCCATACCAGCGCCGAGCTCCTCATCAGGCACCGCCCCCTTTTTCATCAAAATGATGAAATAGCAGGGCCCAATCGCTCTGTGGTGCGCATGCACGGCTTCACGCTGCACCAGTCAGGATGAACAATTATGAATGAACTGAGCACTCTACCGCGCATGTGAGCGGTATGTGCGTTCACGAGCTGACTGACAGCTCAGCTCGCCATCTATGCACGCCCACCTCCTAGGGCAACCCTCCCAAGCCAAAGGTTTGTATGAAAACACTATATAGAGAGATATCTCTATATATAGTGTTTGTATACAAACACATTTTAAATAAAAATTGTTAAACATATACACACACACTATATCGCTCTCTCTCACTCACACTCAATTCTTAAAATAAGTTTACTTATGGTTTGAGGTCTGTAGATCCTCCTGCTCGGCCTTCTGCCCGTCAGCCCGAGCCCACGCTGTGCAGGACATCGTTATCTCACACACGGTCGGCGCTGATTGCTGACAGGCACAGGAGGCGCGTTTACAGTGCCTCCTGTCTCCAGATATCACGTTTGATGCAGTTACCCAAGCGTGAAGACGTCAAACGTGATGAATGCAAGTTAGGCAGCCCTGAACTCGGAAGTCCCTCTGGTGGCCGTCTGAGTGACTGCCACTGGAGGTGTTCCTAGCATCCAATGTAAACACTGTATTTTCTCAGAAAATGCAGTGTTTACATGGGAAAGGCTGCAGGGAGCTATAGTTCTCACCTGAACAACCTCATTAAGCTGAAGCTGTTCAGGTGACTATAGTGTTCCTTTAAAATAGGAAAAATTTAGGAAAACCGAATACAATCTAGAAGCAGTCCAAATGTGATCTGAACAGGTTACATTTCTACTTTCCTGCAGGAGCTATATATATTTTCATTATATAAAAAAATATTTTGCTGTCATGTAGACAGGTTCAATTGAAAGGGTATTTCGACATTATAAAACCTTTTGCTATTTTCAAAGATGTTTCTATTGTACGTTTACTGTAATGCAGGTTTGGAAACTTTTGTTGGCCAGATGTCCCAACTCCAGCAGAGAGCAGCATGGCTGATTGGCCTTCAGACTGGGCTCAGGTAACATGTACTGCATCCACCCGAAAGAGATAAAAAGAATAAATCACATTAGAAGAAATGTGATTGCAACAATAATACTGTTGATCTACAAAGCCGCTTAATTCCTGACCCTATAGTGCTAAACCCACCATTTAGGTGGCTTTGCCCCCCTTATCCACCCTATAAAAGTTTAAAACTCAACTTATTTCCAGCGCCGCGCGGGTCTGCTGGTGCTGGCTCCACCCCCTTTGTGACATCATCAAAATAGATGATTTTTAGCCAATCCAATGCTTTCCAATAGGCTAAAATCGGCACAGGAGCAGGGCTAAATGCAGTTTTGGCCAATCAAGACCTCCTCATAGATATGCATTGAGCCAGGAAGCACCTCGAGTGGCCATCTAAGGAAGGCCACTTGGAGGTGTCCCTAGGGGCAATGTTAACACTGCCTTTTCTATTAAAATGCCTGAAGGTAGCTATTATACTCACCAGAACAACTACATTAAGCTGTAGTTGTTCTGGTGACTATAGTGTCCCCTTAATTCATTATATTTAAAAAAAAAAAAAAAAAAAAAGCAGCAGATGGCTCAGAAGTGTTCTAATTATATACACAGTAATATTTTTTTGCTCATTAGCATTAGCACAAAGGTAAGTGGTTGCAAAGACAGAATATCTCATTTATTGTATATTGAAACAAACTATTAAAACAATTATTCTTGACCCTAGAATGGTAGTCTCCTTGGATTAAGAAGCTATTACCCCACCAATTAAAAATGATGTCCCTATATAGTATGTTTTTGCAAGTATTTATCAGATTGTTTAACCCCTCAAGACATGTGTGACATGTCATGATTCCCTTTTATTCCAGAAGTTTGGTCCTTAAGGGGTTAAACACTTGTATAGACTCTGATAAAAGTGTTGCTACCCCCATTTCTATCTCCCTCCACGTTAATGGTGCTACCATCAGCTTCACCACGCAGGCTCGCTGCCTAGGTGTTCTCCTTGACTACTGTAATCCGCTTCTCAGTGGTCTTACATGTTTCCAACTTGCCCCACTGCAGTCTATAATGAATGCAGCAGCGAGGCCCTGCGTTGGCTTCCCGTAAGATATGGGGCTCAATATAAGATTCTGGTTCTTGCTGTCAAATCTCTACATAATGCTACTTCCACGTATCTATCCTCCCTAATACGCAAATATCTAGGCCCCTAAGCTCTGCCGAAGACCTGCATCTATCCTCTGTACGTACTTCCACCTCTGATGCTTGCCTTCAAGACTGTTGTAGGGCTGCACCGTTCCTTCGAACGCTCTTCCCTTTTCCGTTAGAGGCTCACCTCATCTCCACTCCTTCAAAAAAAAAAAATTCATTACAAACTCACTTTTTCACAAAAGCATATCAGTTAAACTGTTAATGGCTCCAAAACCCCACACTGAGTCTTAATTGAATACTATTCTACCAATCTACATCCATTACCTTTTGTGTCACTTTACCCCACTCCCTCTAGCATTTAAGCTCATTGATCTGGGCCCTCAGCCACTCTGTTTCTGTGCGTCAGACTTGTCTGATTTGTTAGTCCACTCATTGTAAAGCACTACGGAATTTGTTGGCGCTATATAAATATAATAAACTCACCCCTTGAGGCAGGTAATTCCACATCCTTCTTGTTCTTACGGTAAAAAATTAAATAAAAATCTTTCTTCCAGTCTAAATGTATGACCTTGTGCCCTATGTATAGTCCTATTTATGCAACTATTTCCACAGAATGGTTTGTATTGGCCCCGGATAAATTTGTATTTTGTTATAATATCCTCTCTGAGGTGTTGTTTTTTTTTTTTTTACTCGAGAGGTTTACATTTGTTAAAGGGACACTCGTCACCCAGACCACTTCAGCTCAATGATTACATAGAAGGGTTAATCCTACCTCCGGTGGCTGTCTTCCTGACAGCCGCTAGAGGCGCTTCTGCGACGTTGGATGCGAAATTTGCATCCAAAGTGCAGAACGTCCATAGGAAAGCATTGAGAAATGCTTTCCTATGAACTGTTTGAATGCGCATGCGGCTCTTGCCGCACATGTGCATTCCGCTCCACTTGGGAGCGAGAGGTCACCACCGCCGAGGGAGCCCGGCGCTGGATTAAGTTAAGCTGCTGAAGGGGTTTTAACCCCTTCAGCGCCAAAGGGGGGGGGGGGTGGCTGAGGGTGAGGGTCCCCCAAGGATGCTATAGTGTCAGCAGAGTTTGCTTTCCTGACACTATAGTGATACTTTAACCTTTTTTCATTACTAGAATGCTCAATTTTGTTGCCCGTCTCTGCACTTTTTCTATTGCCATATAATCCTTCTTTATAACAGGTGCCCAGAATTGCACAGCATATTCAAAGTGTGGTCTTACCAGTGTTTTATAAAGAGGCAAAATCTCAAAACAGCGACTAAGTTGCAAAGATCTTTTATGGCCAAAGTTATTCTATATCTTAATTCTGACCACTGTTCATTTCAAAGTGTGAGCTTGCAACTTACACTCCATACAAATATGTTATCTAGATTTAAAGGCAACAAACTTTCCCATTATGACGTCCCTAGCACAGAATTTATAAGCTGTAGTGGTTATGTTGCTTAAAGTTGACTTCAATTTTTTGTTTACAGACTAGCCCAGTTTTGTTGAATATGACACATTCAGATGGTATAATTTATTCTGGCGAGATTTATGTTTTCGATACAACGTACTTCAATGAAAAAAAACCTCAAAGCATCTAGGCACCGAAAAGAGAACATTTCCATCTTATACTTGCAAGAGCAATGAACGTTAATATAGAACAGTTGTTTCACTTCAACAGCAGGAAGAAGATCTCAGAATGCAGGTGTCATCTGCATTATTAAACATATTCAATCCTACTCCTGTACTTGGCTCACTGAAAACCAGTGTCCATGAGAACTTGGCTGCCACTGAGAAAGGATAACCCAGTGCCGACATTGCAATACTTCTTGGTTATTTAAACTCAAATGCGCACAAAACAAATCAGTTATCAGTTAAAAATCATAGTGAGGTCTACTACAAGTAACACTTCTTCAAAACGCACAAAAAACTAGGAAAACTTCACAATGCATTTTGCAAACCATGTAGATAAAGTAGTTGTGGTTAAGAAAGTCTTCACTCCCTTTGCCATATTATGACAGCCCTGATTGTCTCTGCTACTTTTTGAAACCCCACATGTTCTGGTTATTACACCTATGTGTAATAAAGGTCACACGATATACCCTTGTTTCATAAAACCTCAGCCAGTCAAAACAGCCAGACTAGGTAAGGAGTGGTAAAACAAAAAACATTTAAAAAAATGTCTGCAGAATCTTACAAAACATCCTCTTCTATACAGAGTTCCCCCCATCTTTCTTACTTTGATTTTATCCACCATGGAGGGACCAAGTGCACATGGAGTTTTAGTACTGAAGATTGTTGCCAATTTACAACAGTCCTTGGGTCCTTTTGACAAAGCAGGATAGTTTCTTACAGCAATCTTTTAACATGCCTGGACAATTACCTTTAATTTGTCCCCAGGTGGATTTCAGTATATATTCTACAGTTGGTAACGTGTATTGGGAAGATGATGCCATGTGCATGATTTAAAGACAGAATAAAAAAATTAAAAAAAAAGAACCACAAAAATGTTTGTCTGTTAGTTGAATGGCTCAATGGAGAAGTTTTCATCCTGAAAGATAATCTAATTATCTGTATGAAAATAAAATAGATATTGTGCTAGTGCTTTCACACAGGCTCATATGTTCAGTGAGTTGTTAAGAAAATTACCACAGCATCAGTAGAAAGAGGGAAGTGCTCATGCCATTATACAGAACACTGGTGAGACCTCACTTGGAGTATTGTACACAGTACTGGAGACCGTATATTCAGAAGGATATTGATACCTTAGAGAGGGTTCAGAGAAGGGCTACTAAACTGGTTCATGAATTGCAGGGTAAAACTTACCAGGAAAGGTTAAAGGATCTTAACATGTATAGCTTGGAGGAAAGACGAGAGAGGGGGGATATGATAGAAACATTTAAATATATAAAGGGAATCAACACAGTAAAGGAGGAGACTATATTTAAAAGAAGAAAAACTACTACAACAAGAAGACCTAGTCTCATGTTAGAAGGACAAAGGTTTAAAAATATCAGTAAGTATTCCTTTAATGAGAGGGTAGTGGATGCATGGAATAGCCTTCCAGCTGAAGTGGTAGAGGTTAATACAGTGGAGTTTAAGCATGCGTGGGGTAGGCATAAGGCTATCTTAGACTTAAGATAAGGTCAGGGACTAATTTAAGTATTTAGAAAATTGGGCAGACTAGATGGGCTGAATGGTTCTTATCTGCCGTCACATTATCTCTCTCTCTCTGTGGTGGGGAATTACAAAAGGATTCTGCACATTAAACAATTACAATTTGTGAACACAAATTTTAATTAGTAGTGAAAAAACATGGTCTGTAAAGTAATTAAAACAGATCTAACAAATTACTTTCAAACTTACTTAACTTTTGTGTTGAATCACTTGCTTAATCATTGTTAAAACCTATTTGCAGGGCATAAAGATATTTATGGTAATTCCAAGATTAGTAGCTTTTTATACCTCAAAGATAAAATTGGAATAGGACACTCAGTATTTTACATAATTAGGAATATGTGACTTTCTCCTTAAGACATCTTAAGTTAGAGACTCATCTTTCAACAAAATACTCTTTTGTGAGAATGATCATAAAACCTCAACCATTAGAAGAGCCTTGGGCGTATTAAATCTGGGTATAAAACTCAACACTTATTAACCCCTTAAGGACTGGACTGTTTTTGCGATGTTGTACATTTGCGACCAGGCATATTTTTACACTTTTGTGGTGTTTGTGTTTAGCTGTAATTTTCCGCTCTCTCATTGACTGTTCCTATACAAATTATATATTTTTTTCAGGACAAAAATGGCTTTCTTTACATACCATTATTTATATAATCTCATGTAAATAAAAAAAGATGAAAAATTTAAAAAAATACTCTTTTTTACTTTTACTTGAAAAATCTTTTACTCATCTACAAAAGTGAATGAAAAAAACTGCTAAATAGATTCAAAATTTTGTTGAGTTTAAAAATACCCAGTGTTTACATTTTTTGCAAGTTATAGGGCTATAAGTACAAGTAGGATATTGCGGTTTCAAAACATACATTTTTAAAATGTATCAATAGTGACATTATAACACTATTATCTGTCATAAATCTCTGAATAACACCCCACATGTACTTTTTTTTTTTTTTTAACGTGGACACCCCAGGGTATTCAATATGGGGTATGTCCAGTCTTTTTTAGTAGCCACCTAGTCGCAAACACTGGCCAATGTTAGCGTTCATATTTGTTTGTCTGTGAAAAAAGTAAAAAACTAAATTGAATGCTAATTTTGGCCAGTGTTTGTGACTAAGTGGCTACTAAAAAAGACTGGACATACCCCATTTGCAATACCTTGGGTTGTCTTCTTTTGCAAATGGTATGCCATCATGGGGGTAATTCTCATTCCTGGACTACCATAAGCTCTCAAAGGCAACGTAACCAACCTGGCAATTTTCAATGTAAAAATATTTGACCCTGTAACTATCAAAAATACTATAAAACTTGCACATGAGGGGTACTGTTATACTTGGGAGACTTTGCTGAACACAAATATTAGTGTTTCAAAACAGGAAAACGTATCACAACAATCATATCATCAGTAAAAGTGCGGTTTGTGTGTGAAAAATGCAAAAAAAGTCACTTTCAGTGACAATATCATTGCTGTGATACGTTTTACTGTTTTGAATCACTATTATTTGTGTTCAGCGAAGTCTCCAGAGTAAAACAGTACCCCCCATGTACAGGTTTTAGGGTGTCATAGAAAGTTACAGGGTAAAATACAGTGCTAGCAAATTAAATTCTCTGGACTTTAGGCCTGGGTTGGCAGGCAGGTTCCTCAAATTTCAATCAATAAAATTACTTAATTATGTAAAAATATTGCATAAATATGCACGTAGAATTTAAATATATAAGCATATTTATATATTTGAAGTCTACGTGTATATTTATAGAATTATGTAATCTTGTATATGGACATATGTATATTTCGTATTTTATATATACAATTTCATTCTGAGTGTGTTTTGATATAAATATATATTAATATCAAAATACAGTTAGAATAAAATTTCATATAGATATAACAAAAATATTTTTACATGTTTATTTAATTTAAATAACTTATTATTTGTATAATATATACACAATATATAGTTATATATTATATATATATATATACATACATACACAGGGAGTGCAGAATTATTAGGCAAATGAGTATTTTGACCACATCATCCTCTTTATGCATGTTGTCTTACTCCAAGCTGTATAGGCTCGAAAGCCTACTACCAATTAAGCATATTAGGTGATGTGCATCTCTGTAATGAGAAGGGGTGTGGTCTAATGACATCAACACCCTATATCAGGTGTGCATAATTATTAGGCAACTTCCTTTCCTTTGGCAAAATGGGTGAAAAGAAGGACTTGACAGGCTCAGAAAAGTCAAAAATAGTGAGATATCTTGCAGAGGGATGCAGCACTCTTAAAATTGCAAAGCTTCTGAAGCGTGATCATCGAACAATCAAGCGTTTCATTCAAAATAGTCAACAGGGTCGCAAGAAGCGTGTGGAAAAACCAAGGCGCAAAATAACTGCCCATGAACTGAGAAAAGTCAAGCGTGCAGCTGCCACGATGCCACTTGCCACCAGTTTGGCCATATTTCAGAGCTGCAACATCACTGGAGTGCCCAAAAGCACAAGGTGTGCAATACTCAGAGACATGGCCAAGGTAAGAAAGGCTGAAAGACGACCACCACTGAACAAGACACACAAGCTGAAACGTCAAGACTGGGCCAAGAAATATCTCAAGACTGATTTTTCTAAGGTTTTATGGACTGATGAAATGAGAGTGAGTCTTGATGGGCCAGATGGATGGGCCCGTGGCTGGATTGGTAAAGGGCAGAGAGCTCCAGTCCGACTCAGACGCCAGCAAGGTGGAGGTGGAGTACTGGTTTGGGCTGGTATCATCAAAGATGAGCTTGTGGGGCCTTTTCGGGTTGAGGATGGAGTCAAGCTCAACTCCCAGTCCTACTGCCAGTTCCTGGAAGACACCTTCTTCAAGCAGTGGTACAGGAAGAAGTCTGCATCCTTCAAGAAAAACATGATTTTCATGCAGGACAATGCTCCATCACACGCGTCCAAGTACTCCACAGCGTGGCTGGCAAGAAAGGGTATAAAAGAAGAAAATCTAATGACATGGCCTCCTTGTTCACCTGATCTGAACCCCATTGAGAACCTGTGGTCCATCATCAAATGTGAGATTTACAAGGAGGGAAAACAGTACACCTCTCTGAACAGTGTCTGGGAGGCTGTGGTTGCTGCTGCACGCAATGTTGATGGTGAACAGATCAAAACACTGACAGAATCCATGGATGGCAGGCTTTTGAGTGTCCTTGCAAAGAAAGGTGGCTATATTGGTCACTGATTTGTTTTTGTTTTGTTTTTGAATGTCAGAAATGTATATTTGTGAATGTTGAGATGTTATATTGGTTTCACTGGTAATAATAAATAATTGAAATGGGTATATATTTGTTTTTTGTTAAGTTGCCTAATAATTATGCACAGTAATAGTCACCTGCACACACAGATATCCCCCTAACATAGCTATAACTAAAAACAAACTAAAAACTACTTCCAAAAATATTCAGCTTTGATATTAATTAGTTTTTTGGGTTCATTGAGAACATGGTTGTTCAATAATAAAATTAATCCTCAAAAATACAACTTGCCTAATAATTCTGCACTCCCTGTATATATGTGTGTGTATACATATATACATACACACACACACACACATATACATACACATGTAATTTTTTTATTTATTAACATTAAAGGACCACTATAGTGCCAGGAAAACACTCGTTTTCCTGGCACTATAGTGCCCTGAGGGTGCCCCCACCCTCAGGGACCCCCTCCCGCCCGGCTCTGGAAGGGGAAAGGGGTAAAAACTTACCTTTTTCCAGCGCTGGGCGGAGAGCTCTCCTCCTCCTCTCCGCCTCCGTTACGCCCCGCCGGCTGAATGCGCACGCGCGGCAAGAGCTGCGCGCGCATTCAGCCGGTCTCATAGGAAAGCATTTACAATGCTTTCCTATGGACGCTGGCGTGCTCTCACTGTGAAAATCACAGTGAGAAGCACGCAAGCGCCTCTAGTAGCTGTCAATGAGACAGCCACTAGAGGCTTTGGGGGAAGGCTTAACCCATTCATAATTATAGCAGTTTCTCTGAAACTGCTATAATTATGAAAAAATGGGTTAAGCCTAGAAGGACCTGGCACCCAGACCACTTCATTAAGCTGAAGTGGTCTGGGTGCCTAGAGTGGTCCTTTAACAGGCAGCACATGCAGTCCCCCTGCAGGCAGACACTAAGACACCTATTGTGACCATGTGATCGCTATCTTGAGCGATCACATGGCCTCAGGGGTCCTAATCCACCATGGGGAGACTGGTCTGCAGGCAGTCTCCCCACACCGGGAGCACCGCCGGGGGAACGACGGCGATCGAGTAAGTACATTACACCATTAGGACGGTTTAGGACCGTCAGCGGTCGGCAACACAAAAATGCCGATTATGGTCCTGAACCGTCCTCGGTCGTTAAGTGGGAATTCGATCTGGGTAAATCCTTTTCTTGCCAGGATTGGTTAAAAACAAGAAACTGTCCTTAAACTAATACATAGGTGGTATATGGTCCCTCCGAAAATTTGTAAATTTCAAACAAATACCACCAACATCTGATGGCGTTGTAATAAAGATCCGGGCTCACTTAAACATATTTGGTGGGACTGTACTGGTTTGGACACACAAACTTGAAATGTGTAAACTTTTTGCGTATTTAAAGTGGAATATTAATTATCCCCAGAAAGATTTTTTTTTCCATTTAGATATGCCAAAAATTGATAAATTATCTTTGTATATGTCCATACATGTTTTGATGGCTGTTAAACTTTGTATCACCAGAAGTGGAGACCGCAGGATCCTCCCTCCTTAACAGAGATTAAGGCCCAAATTCACCCTCAAGAGCTAATGGAAATGGTGGTATAATTTAAAGATAATATTGCTATCTATAATAAGATATGGGGAAATTGGTTAGATTACAAAGAATAAAAGCCCAACTTACAGTATATTAAACCCCTGCATAGTTGCACCTTTTTGCCAAACCATTAACAATCTTTAGTCGAAAGTGGTTCTGAGTTAAATTAATTTATTAAAGAAATATCGGTCTGATATGTTATGTTGTCATTAATGGTAAATTTTCAAGCTGGACAGAGGTGGCAAGTGGTGTCCCTCAGGGGTCTGTTCTATTTAACATGTTTATAAATGATCTTGAAGACCGCATTGAAAGTCATGTTTCAGTGTTTGCAGATGACACCAAACTTTGTAAAACAATACAATGTGAGCAAGATATTACTTTGCTGCAGAGGGATTTAGATAGACTGGGGACTGGGCACTCAAATGGCAGATGAAATTTAATGTTGAAAAATGCAAAGTTATGCACTTCGGCGTAAAGAATACACAAGCAACGTATACCCTTAATGGAAGCGAATTAGGGATAACAACACACGAAAAGGACTTGGGAATTGTTATAGACAACAAACTATGCAACAATGTGCAATGTCAATCAGCAGTGGCCAAGGCCAGTAAGGTATTGTCATGCATGAAAAGGGGCATTCATTCTCGGGACAAGAATATAATTTTGCCTCTTTATAAATCACTGGTAAGACCCCATATTGAATATGCTGTGCAATTTTGGGCACCTGTTCTAAAGAAGGATATTATGGCACTAGAAAAAGTGCAGAGGCGGCCTACAAAATTAATAAAAGGAATGGAACATATCGGCTATGAAGAAAGGTTAACAAATATAAACCTATTTAGTTTAGAAAAACGTTGCCTGAGAGGGGATATGATAACATTATACAAATATTTTCGGGGCCAATACAAACCACTGTGTGGAAATCTATTCACAAACCGGACTTTACATAGGACATGAGGCCATGCGTTTAGACTGGAAGAAAGAAGATTTTGTCTAAGGCAAAGGAAAGGTTTTTTTACTGTAAGAACAATCAGGATGTGGAATTCTCTGCCTGAAGAAGTGGTTTTATCAGAGTCCATACAGATGTTCAAACAGCTACTAGATGCATACTTGCAAGAACACAATATTCAAGGATATAATCTTTCAATGTAGGGTAATAACTGCTTGATCCAAGGATAAATCTGACTGCCATTCTGGGGTCAAGAAGGAATTTTTTTCCTAGCTTGTTGCAAAATTGTGCTTCAAACTGGGTTTTTTTGCCTTCTTTTGGATCAACAGCAAAAAACAAATGTGAGGTAGGCTGAACTTGATGGACACAAGTCTATTTTCAGCTATGTTACTATGTATAGAGTATGTATGATTTACTTCTGTAGATTTAACCTTGTATAAGCAACTCATTTGGGAATATGGATACCTTAGCTAGCGATATTTAAAGATTTCCATTTTGAGGAATATTATTTGGGAATTAAATTACAATGTCTCAATAAGATTTGTGACTTGTTGTAATGTGAATGTTGTTGAATCCACGTGTTTAACTTTTGTAAAAATAAAAAATAAAAATAAATGTTTAAATATATCATTGTTAAAATCTATTTGGAGGGCAAGTTGTCTGGTAAAAAACAAAAAAACCCACGATGAATGGTCTTTATATTTCCTTATTTCACCCAATGGCTCCTCTCTTAGCAGCGACATACTTTTTGTGTAAGCCACAAAATATTTAGATTTCAAAAAATGGCAGATTGTGATACCTTATTTGCTATTTTAGTAGAACTCCCATCAGCCAATGGTTAACTGAATGAAGGGAATTATTTCTACGCCCATTGAGTTAACTATAGCATAAACATGAAGATAAAATTAAAATAGCCCATTCATTTGAAATGACCTGATTAGATGTAATTAAAGAGCAAACTCAGTGTTTGCTGTTAATTATCATAATTAGCAGTGCAGAACCCAGACAACCCACAAAATGCTTCAATGACTTACAAAAGGGAATTCTTGGGTTTTTCAGATGTTCACCATTTTGAACTGCTATTTTTAAAAAAATTTTATCAAAATAATCAAACCTTACTTTATGTGTGTACCATAATACAAATAACAGTTTCTGAAGGATGTTTTAAAAAAACACAACACGTTTCTAGTTCCAGGTCTGTTATTAATTACAACCCCAAAATGGAAGAAAAACAATATTTATTACACTTTGGTAGTTATGATACAAGTGGAATCCTCCATTAATACCCAGACTCTGCTGTTCCTTGCCCTTCTGACATATTCTAGAATGTTTAATTTACCCTTCATATGGTGTTACTACACATCTCTCATCCCAGCTTTTCCTTACAGCCTATTTATTTATTTTGCCAACACTCAATACACCAAAACCACTACAGATTGTTATAATGGTTATGGTGCCAAAAGCTCTCTGGGGTCCACCAGTCTTCTCAACTGCCTTCGCCCAAGAGCCAGAATTTTCTCAGCAGGAACTGGTTACTACTCCTGAACTAAGCCCAGCATTGTTGGGCTTAGCGCACTGGCGGAGAGAGTTTGCTGTAGTGGTTATGGCAGTTGGATTGTTCTTTTACGACCAGGACCATTTCCTTTGTTTAAAAAAAAAAAAAAGTTTTTGGTGGGAGCATTTGCAGGTGCAGAGCAGCCAGTCATTCATGCATCCATTAATGAGACCATGCAAATCTATGCTGTTTCCATCTTGTACTGTCCACTTCTTGCTATTAGCAGTTGATAATCACAATCAATATGTATATATAAAAAAATTGTAAAAAGTGTAAAAGAAATGCAAATTTAAATATTTATTAAATATATACAATTGTAATGCTTTGGAACACTAATAAACATACTATATATAGTAAAAATTTGCCATTAAAACTTGCTGAAGATAAAATAAAGGATCTCTTGGCATACAATACTGATAATTGATATGGGAAAATTCCATTTTTATGGAACACTAGAATGCAGAGATGTCCAGCTTTGGCTAGAATTCCCATTTTATGATGCTTGGCTACAAATAATTACGTCATCTCGGTTGCCTGGCAGGAAATTTAGACCAACAGCTGGAGGGCAGAGTTCAGACACCCCTGCTATAATGCAAGGCACACAAGGCAGATACAGAACACCAGCCCATCCTAGTACAATATGAAGATAGAAAGCCTGAGATGTTCTGAAAGTTCCAATAATGCCTTCAACAGACTGTGAATTTTTTTTTACATTTTAATAATTATATTTTTTAAAAACAAAACAAACATTAAAAAAAAAAAAAAATCAGTGCTTTTTTCTTTTTACATCTATCAATACTTAACAGATTGCAAGCACTGTATATTGTAATATGTCACAGACATGCTAGGTGTATGCACACAATATTGTTTGCCCAGACGGTGCACACTTAATTGCATATTATGTTCTTTGTGCCAATAGATTCCATGCACTGTTTGTGTTACACAATTATACATCCACATCTGAAAACTGGGTTTGTATTAAGAATCGCTAAAACCACTTAAATCAGAAGCTCTGAGTGTGAGCACCCCCCCGATTACCAAAATATGTTTTTTTTCCTGTTACAGTTGGGAATCTTTTAACAGACTAAATTTATTTTGGCATGTTTATCAGTCTGATCTATGTTGCATCTAGTTCAAGCAATCTGTAAGTCGCACATGCTGAAACATCGTGCATATTAAACTGACAGTTACAATGCCAAAGCAGATATATTTCACAGATATTTGTTTAAAACTATCATTAGCACTGGATAAGCCACCTTATTTTAAAATTTTATGAAATAATTACAGAGAAGTTATTTTGGTAATTTTGGCTACTTAACTATATTCAATTATATGTACACAATTCAAATGTTTAATGAATGCTTCTTGTATACAGTAAAATATATTTAATGAATTTGGTGGACCAAATGGAGGATATTTGAAGCTTGCTGCTAATCAGCTTTATTTTTCTTTAAAAAAAAATCTTTGGTTTCTGACAGCATAATACAAACAATACGGATTAGCAGCTCTTAAAATGAGGGACAGAAATTATACTGGATGTGTTCTGTCTAAAGCCACACACACATGGCTTCAACAATATGCCAAAACGCAGCCTGAAATGTCAGTCTATTGGGGCATGTAGCCACCACGCCTCACAATTTGTGGCAAATAGCTTTTTAATCCTCCAATAACATGATCCACTTGTGAATCTGCTGACTGTTCTTCAGGACATTTAATGACTTCTTGAAAACCGTTTTCTAGGCGACCCCCATCTATAACCGAGGTCTCTAGTCTGCCTGTGACTTCTTCTGGACTGCAGTTCTGTTTAAAATATTGACTGGCAACCACTGGATGGTCTTCTCCCTCTACAGGCTGTTGGTCATCAGGTCTTTCTTCAGACTCCAAAAGTGGTTGCGTTGATTCGGATCTTGAAAATACATGTGGAATCACTGTTGTTGGCTGCTGGTCTCTATATCCACTAATGATAACAGAGGAATACTGCACAGTGCTAGATGTGGTTTGAGCAGATTCAACCCCATCACCATCAGACACACTCAGCTGAGGAGATGACATACACGAAGAACCCCCAATACCACTACTTAAGCCTTCAGATGTGTTCTTCTTCAGTGGATCCATGGGTTTTATATCCTGTTCATTGTATGAATTCTTTTCCTCGGATACTTCCACCACACTGACATCAGTAAAGCTACCATCTTGGAACAGGCTATTTTTTGGATTGAATTCATGCTGTAAAGAAGAGAAAAGGATTGCATGTTATGTTATGATGTAACAACATTCAGCACACTATGCCTGGGCTAATTAATATGGTGCACATTCTAAGCACACATTAGGAGAATTCACTAAACAAGTTATAATAGAAACCCCTCCTATGTCCATATATTTAGATGCATTTGGTGGGAGGCAGTGACACTGTAATAGTGCCAGGGGGACTGGACATTTACTGACACAATGATGATGTGGGAGGGGCAAGAATTGTTTCAAGTGACAATTTCTCAAACACAAAAAACGTAATTGCCTCAGAAAACGGGTCATTCCTCAGCATGGCATGGGCGTCAGGATCGTGTATGCACGCCTGTAACCATATTTCAACTCTTTGATCACCACATATAGGTGAGATAAAGGGGAAGGCAACAAAACCAACAACCACGTTCTATTATCAAGAAAATGGGCATCCTCATCTGCCCACCCATTCTATAATTAAAACAAGATCTACAGAGAATCAGACAAGGGAAAGGGAAGACCTTTGAGCAGTTAGGTAGGGTTAACATTTTTAACAACAGTCAGGGTGCAGGTGGGTAACGGTGACTCCATTCCATTTTTCTGAGGACTGAGGGGCTAATCACTATTAGTTGAATGCCTCAATTTTGAGGCAGCCGGTAAACGTCACCTGATCGTGGTATTCCCTGCTATCAAAGACAGCAGAGAATTGCTCTGACTAGCTGTCACAACAATACTATGCCATTTTACCATCTTAAGTAAAGAGTAAGTGGCTGGGTACGCAGAATAATCATGGAATGCACGAACTGGAGGTCCTTGCAAAGGCTGCCAGTGATCGGTTTGCATGCATTTGGAGAGCTTCAGAATCGCATTTATTTGATCGTTCAACGAAATGGCCCAGTGATTGGTTTGTTAAAAAACACTTCTGGCAGGTGACATACAATGTCATACAATGTATGTCACTATGGGGTAAAACAAAAAAGTTGATGCTACAAGGTAACATTGCCACGTCAAAACAGGAATCTCCTGCAAGGCTGTAGTCCTGGTTTATAGGGGAAAGAAAATTGTACATGTAAAGTTAATTTCTTACCCTACTTGGAGTTTGAGGAGACCACTTTGCAATGTTACTCTTTGAAGGATCTGGAACATTTGGCCAAATGTGTTTCTTAATCCTTGAATGCAAAATGAATAAGGGGGAAAAAAAAAATTGAAAATATATTTTACACAGCATATCTTAGAAGTGAAAAACGTTTTTTTTAATACAAAAATAGGAAATGAAAAAAAAAATATATATAAATATATCTATCTATCTTGCACGCATACTTCAAAAGTTGCCAAACCGGGTGCAATACCAGGGCTTAAACATACAAATAGTAAAGTAGTTGGCTGCACTCTCGGATTCCAATAAAATATAACTTTTATTCCAGCTTCTTAAAACAGATCAATGTTTCAGTCCATCTTGTGGACTTTCATCAGGTGATCCTGAGGCTTAGGCTTGGCAGGAAGCATTGTACTTGAACTTTTGAGCCCTGCAGGTCAATACAGCATTGCAGAGATAGGCAACCTTCGACATTCCAGATGTTGTCGACCACATCTCCCTTGATGCTTTGTCAATATTATAATGGCTGTAACATCATTATGGTAGATGTAGTCCACAACATTTGGTGTGCTGAGGTTAACCTACCGCATGCTGTAAGGAAAAGAAAAGTGCCACTGTGTGGTTACAACATTTGGAACATGATATAAAAGTCAGGTACAGCTAGGATAAATTTGTGTGACTAATTTTAAAGGGCTGTAAATCTGAAGATAAAATGTGTGTTGCTTAGCAGAAATCAGCTTGCTTGCACATAATGCAAAGTTTTGTAGCGGACCATAACCTCCCAAAATGACTGTAAATCTAAAATAATCACTCATCAGTGTTAGCCAGTATCTGTATTTTTTTTTTTTGGATGTTATAAATTAAGAGTGGTTTAGTAAAGCTAAAGAAGTTGGGACAACGGTTTACAATATATATTAATATTTAAGCTTAAAAAGAATTCCTTTCATCTGGTTAATACCCAACAATATTTGGTCTATTGCAGTGTTTTCCAAACTGTGCCGCGGCGACTCCGTAGAACAGAGAGAGAAGTTCATTACCAAACTCGCAAACACATTGATGCGAATAAATCTACAGCGGATACATTATTAGCACGGTAGCTGTATAACGCTATTCATTCGCACAGCCTTCTCCATGAATTGGTCAATTCTCGGAAAATGATGCAAATAAGTAGTGCAATACTGTGCTATGTATCCACACTGTGGATTCAACCGGCTTAATTTGCGAAAAAGTGTGCGAACAATTTGTGAAAAACTATGCAAATCTATATAAACTCATGTGGAGGTCCGTGCCAGGCAACATGAGGTCTGGGAAACACTTAATAAAAAGACATTTTTTTTCTTTAACACTTATTACAATAGCTAGGACAATAGCTAAAGGGTGCACCTATAACAGCCCGAATAAGCAACATAGTGAATCTGAATACTGAATAAGTGTTCTTATCTGATCCTCGTAAAAATGGACACGTTTTTATTGAACTTTAACAAGCGCATAGGAACTGAAAATGAAGACTATGCACCACAAACTAGTGGTGGGTGTGTAAAGAAGTGGACCTATCATAAATATGGCTATAATTATCTGGATTTCAGCTTTACATCGACAAATGTCAATGGTGAAGAGAGACCACAGTGTGTAGTTTGCTTGAAGATTCTGCCCCAGAGTGCATGATTCAGAGTAAGCTAAAATCGCCATTTAGAAACCAAGCATTCAAACTTGGTTGGTAAATCTCGCAACTTCTTTAACAGAAAATTAAAAAGGACAACAA